AACAAAAAAGACCCATGAAGACATCACTCTGATTCGACATGAAGAGAACGAAGTCTGCAATGCTGAATTGAACGTTTATGAGGTTCCGATTGGTTGGCCTTGCTTTCACAGGGTCCAACTGCTTGTGAAGTTCCATTCTTGTGTGGGTATGAGTATGAGCATCGAATGAGATGCGTCTCTGAAATCTAGTGGGTCTAGCCGTACCGAAAAGAAGGCATTTTCACTGCGCGTGGTTCACTGCTCGCACTGGGGCAGGGCTTGAGGCCTCAAAATTGGGGAGACGGCTCTGGGGGGACACTGCGGATCTTGAGGTTTGACGAGGAATGCAGGACGAAGGACGCAAAGGACCAGGAGGTTGTTGGCCTTGGTGGGATGGTTTGGCCTTGGAAAAAAAGGTGGGTACATGGCTTTACAGAGACTCGCCGGATGACGAGGTGTGGACGCAAACGATAACTCTGTTTTGTTCGCTTTGTTTGTTTTGAAGAAACTCCGAAGGAAGAATCCTCTTATCCGAGCAAATGGCAGAAAGACGATCAAGGACCAGGTAGCGACAAGAGCTTTACCATGCTTTACCTCAAGAATTCAAGAATACATCAAACAGAGGAACAACATGTGGGATCCCTTTTTGCAATTTGTGTCTACGTATCTTTGGGACACTGTTGGCGTGTGCATGTGTTTGGTGTCCGAATCCCCCCTTTTCTTTTGTGCGTAGCGCCATTTTCTTGTTTTTTTCACATCTTCATGATCCGCTGTCCCTCTGGCACCGACGGAACGGCAGAGGAATCTCTTCGCCCTTCGTGAAGATAGAAGAAGCAACTTTTGCAGCCAATCCGGTCGAGAACGAGAGTGAAGATAGATATTGAAAGATATAACATATAAGATATAGCGGCATTGCCAAAGATAGAGTTTTGAGTTTTAAAGCTTCAAGATGTCTAGTGACTAGTGTTGTTCTGATGTCCAAAAGGTTTCATGTCCTCCAAAGAGAATCATCGCCGCGCCTCTCTTCCAAAAACACGCTCCAGCAGGGGCGATCACTGTCAAATCTGGTTTGGTCTAAGGTGCAGAGATAGCAATCACTCCGATGACTCAGATATGAATTTGGAGGAATGTGCCCGCCACGCTGTGACTCACAACATTGGCATCCCATATAGCATTCGGGACATATAATGTCAAGGACACTCAGGGCTGATTGCCGCCAGACGAGAGATGTCACCAAGAGATACCAGTTGAGTGTAACGACTCACGACGGCATTTGGACGACGCGATGAATTTGCAGTTGACTCTGCAGATCGGATTGAGAGTGGCCAAGTTGCACTCTAATCTTTGGATCAATCTGCAGCCCTTGGGAAGGCGGGTTCGATCGTGCCTGGCGAAGGCAGGTGATTAGATGCATCAAATGAATCAAACAAATGCAGGATCGATGTTCTTGTTTGAACTGCCAGAATTGGGGCTGAACCAACTTGTTTTGGTACGCTTTAGTCGAGGCAAAAGGGCAGTTATGCCGTCCTACCCAAGATCCCTACTGATGAACGACGATCCGGGATAGCTGCTAATCATGCTGGCTATACTTGTTGCAACCAATAAACCACTGCTCTTAGCAAGTCCACATCCAGTCGTGAATAATTTTGAGCAGGATAATGTTCAAAGATCTTCAACACACCTGGAATTCTCTCTCCCCCTCTCTCTCTCTCATATATATATATACACATTACTATTATGATATATATAGTTATATATCCTCTCCTTCGTCGTAGACTGTTGAAGTTGGCAGAAAACGTTGTCCAACAAGGGATCCAACTTTTCTGAAATTCAGGCATTCGTTCCTCGTGAGGGACCAGTATTGAAGTACTTCTGGTGAATGAACGTCCAACTGGTGTGGATTCCTCCTTTCCCATGAATTCTTGTTGATGCTTATCAAGGATGTTTATCTTTATTAAGAAACATCATTGGAGATAGGCGGATCTTATTCCACGTCCAAGACCAAGCAAGTCGGACTGCCAGTCAGGCATAATCATCTCATCGCATCGTGACTTCCGCCTTTGGAGGAGATGCCCCCGTCAACGGCAACTCTCGGTAGTCGTCGAGGGGCTCCTTCCCGAACTCTTGGGACGTGGTTTGACAAACGGGCAAAAAGCCAAGGTGCCACTTAATAAGAGAACGGGTCACTTAGAGAATCCAGCGCAAGGTCACTTTCAAGGTCGGATCTTCAAGATCTGAGTTGATTTGAGCAATCCCTCAGTGCTTGGTGAGTCCAGGCAGTCTGGTTGTTTGTTCAATTTCCAGGGAGCAAGTATTCCTCCCAGACTGGTAGAGCTAGAACCAGTTAGCTTGTCACGAAGCATGGAGAACATGGCCATCAAGGCATGGGTGATAGCTGTCAAGAGACTCAAGTCAAGAGGCGTCGTGTTCTGTTGGCTGTTCTTGATCTGGTGGATAATTGACCTACGTAAATTAAAGAACCCTCAGAAAAAGGGGCCCACTATGGACTCTCCTTCTCTCTCTCTCTCTCGACCAGATAGGATATATTTTTGCCGCACCATCCACCACCGCAGTGTTTAAGGGCTATGGCATCTTAAAGGGCCAAGAGGGATGAGATCGGTGTACAAGTCGCTCCTGGCCTTACTACTAGGAACAAGAAGCTACTAGGAACTGCTGTGATTCTTCTGTACTTCTTTTCCTCGCCATCGTCTCGCATGGAAACACCAGGTTCTTCTACGTCTCGCATCGTCGCATCGTCGAACTGAAAATGCTCAACGATGGAACTGTTGTGGAGTCTTTCCTTTGGGGGATAGGGAAGGAGCACTTGTCCAGAGGCGCCGAACAACTTCCAACCCATAGCGCTTTGAAAAAGTGGCGGCCGAACACCTCGCCCCTTATTGGCGCCGTGCGTGGACGAGCCGCGCTCCAACTCCGAACAACTCACCGTTCAGGAGCCAGAATGCAGGATCCAAATGTATCCATATAGCATAGATTAGCTAATAGGACAAATAGCATGAAGGGGTCAGGACATGTTTGGGGAATCGCACATGTTTGCGCAAACGTTTGCTTCAAGAGTTTTTTCATGTGTGGAGCTTACAGCCTAGGCCTTCCACAGGCCATGAAACAGCGGTTGGGAGGTCATCACAGAAAAGTGTTGAATCCATCCACTGTGACTCTACACGTCCTCTAGTTGAGGTCAAAGGATGAAACATGGGCGATTGAAAGGTCAAAGGTTTGACACCATTGGATGGTACTTTCGATCGACTCCAGTGCAGGCAACAAGCAGAGCCATTTGGTATCACTAGTAGAGGTTCCTTCCCAAATGGCTGGTGCTAAGTTCTTTCCGTGGAATGTTTCCAAAGGATTCTTTATGGATCACCAGTTGACAAGAGAAGTTGAGTTTGGTTCACTACACCCCAAAGTAAAGCCTTCAAACTACAATCGCAATGGCATTGCCGCATAGTAATTTCATGCAATTTGCACTTGGACATATACAACAGTTATATGATGTATAAAGCCTTTAGTTGAAAGTTGAAATCTCTACCATCTAGCTTTGGCTGGAAATCCTTCGGAAAAGCCACTAGCGGTTGCACAGCCTCATCCAGCAATGCCACACCGTCCTCGCGCGCACCAGTTCTACTTCAGGCCCTTCATATCCGCAGAGAAAAGCGGAAGTCTGTTTGTGACCCGTCTTCTTCAAAGCCACCTTGTGAGATCCCAGAATGTGATTTTGGAGGTATAAAATGACATGAGGCATTGTCTCAAGTAAACCTGTTTGGATACATATTCTATTCCGGTCACAACCCCTTTAGGTCGGGACAGCTCTGACACGTGCATGATGTGATTGGCATGGATTATGCATGATGTGAGTGGCATGGGTTGAGCATAGAAGTGAATCCTCCAACATGGTGCTTCTGACATGGTAATTGGATGTAATTGGGGAACCAGATGGGTTTCTGTGCATCGCGCACCTTTCTGAACATGTGTATGCTCGGGGTGAAATTCAGTACTTGGCTTTTTGCGCAGCAAACAAGTTTCTTTTTGATGGCTTTTTGATGGCTGCTGCACGCTGACCATCTGCCACGAGCAAGCACACCTGCGATCTCCCTGGCTGCACAAGGCTCCTGGTGGTTCGGGAAGGATGAAAGGAGCTGGTGGCAGTTCTGGGGAAGCAAAGATATGTGAGTTCATGGAGCAGGTCCTAGCAGCTCCTGAACCGTGTCAAGGCTGCCGAACAGTGCGCATGTGGCCTTTCCAGTGACCTTTTTGTTTGCCGAACGAGGGACAGCTTACAGGGTTGGCATGAGACCTGGGACAAAGTCCAGTGCAGGTAAAGACTGACCCTCTTCTTGTGCAAAGTTGTGTGGTTGTCCATACCCCTTTCAAGAGAGAAGAAGCTAGCTGCTAGGACAGTGAACCGCACATGTATGTATATAACTGTATGTATATATATATATATATGTAGTTCATTGTATTTGGACCACCTGTGTGCCTGTGTTCATGCAGGCAACAAAAAAAACAGGGAAGGATGGGAAGAGTTCCAGTCTTTCCAAGTGAATCGCCTCCACCGGCAGCTCATCTGGCAACTGGGTGAACTGGCTCGCAGCCAGGTTTGTTTATTTTTGTTGGCAGGTCTCTTCTATTATCAGAACTGTATCAGGATCTCAATGCCATTTTGGGTTCCCCTTTTGGTTCCCCAAGTCCCACCATCCGGAATCAGTTTGTTGCTTCCAATCTGTTTAGAAGTTTAGATTGAAGTTCATTACTTATACCCTTTGAAGCTCCAAGCAGTCGGCAGTGCAGTCTCTTCACAGGCCTTACAATTGTTTGGACCTGCATCAACTAGGAAACTTGTTTTTGCGACTCCAGTTGGTGAGCATGATCCGTAGCTTTCAAATCAACCTGTCTTGGGGTCCAGCTGTTGTTTCCAGCTGCGGAGACACACATGTGCATCAACTCCTGCATTTCCACAAGTTTGCCAGTGCACTCATGCCCCTCTGCTGCAGGGCACAGCACGACAGATGCTTCCTCCGCGCTGGACGCAGTTCCCCAACGAGAAGGCCGGTCTCCAAATGCAATGCAATGCGGTCATCGGTCGAAGATTCCCCCTCTGTCGCCGTCGATTCGGGATCTCTTTCTTTTCAGAGATCTTGGGAGAAGCCCATTGTCGTTTGTGGTTTGTCAAGAGATCCAAAGGGTTTTTCTTCGCTCCTAGGTGTGATTCTTTCGATCTTGTTTCCCTCCTAAAACCACTTCTTTTGTAAAGGAACACTGATCATCTCGCAGGGTCAATTCTTGGGGCCTTGATCATCATGTTGTTGCTGCTGCTGCTGTTGTTCGTGGTGGTGATGGTGTCCTAAGCGCAAGGAGGGGACGCAAATGTGCATTTCTTGCTAAACCGGCCTCAGGATGCCTGCTGCGCATGGACACTTTGGTCTTTCCTGTGGCTGAGCTGAACGAGTGGTGCAGAGGTGTGGATGACAGATGTAGACCAACGATTTAGCGTCTTAAATCGTGCTTTTTTGTTCATCGCTCCCAGGCTGGGACAATGCTTTTATGGTGAGTGAACATAAGAAAGATAGAACGATCGCTAGCTGCTACATAGTCTAGAGAACCTGACTGAACGAAGCCTTGGGTCAGTTGGCACTTTTTTCATTAAGTCAGTCGCTTTTCGCAATTCCCCAAACATGGAACAGTCGAGCCGCGCACAGTCGAACAACGTCGATGAACTCATCCGACTCATCCAATGACCAAGTTGTTTGTGCACAACAGACTGGGTTCTTAAGCCACGTGGGTGCCTGTTGCCAGCACCGCACAAGGCTTGCGTTGTACCTCATTTATGGCTCCTTAGCCACCATGAATCTTTGGAAGGCTGGGAGTCTGGGAGTGGCTGGGCCATGCTGGTCCTCTCCTTCTTTGGATACATACTCAACGTATACCTACTTCAGTACCTTGTGACAGATGCAGGAGCCATAATTATAAAGTCCAGGCCCCAGATTCCACCCAGAAAGCTCAAGACAACAATACTGACTGAAAGCAAAATGAAAGCACATGAAATGAACTCCAGAGGAGGCTATAGTGGCGGCTACCCAAAAAACTTTCCAACAAAAACATGGAGAGGTTTAGCCGTTTAGCGTCCTCCTTATAATTACCGATCTCACATTCAGACGAGTTCACGTCTCCACCTGTCGCCGTGCAGCGGATGCGACGGGCCACCGGCCCATTCTATACCCACGACGGGACCGGCACACCGCGTCCGACACCGGGACGTTTGGAGCCGATGGTTCACCCTATGTCTAAGCACCGTCGTGTTGAGCCAAGATTCTTTGGCTGTTTTGATGTGGTTATTAGGTTCTTTGGACCTATTGTTTTTTGCTGTCCAGGCCGTCCCTTTTTATTTAATCTTCAATTCCTCCAACTTTGTGCTACTGGTTAGATCGCCGGTTCATACCCACCTTGTTTTCTCATGCGAGGGACTGTTCATCACCACGGATACAAAAGCCATCAATATCCAAGCTTCCATGCATTTCCATGCCCATGTGATTCATTTTCTTTGTAGCCACTGTCATGCGCGGCAAGGGACATGTGGAAACCGCAGCCGAGTTGCTTTGGAGTCGTGGAACCCTACGGCCCTTTGCTCCGCGACTCGAGACTCCAAAATGATCATACTTGGCAACTGCCCTCGAGTAGATCGGATGTGGCTGAGTTGAAAACAAGCACTCCAGATTCTATCAACACTTAAGGATTTCTTCAATTCAACATGCTGCTGCTCCAGCTTTGTTTACTTGAGGATGCTTGTGGAAGAATCGTCAAGTCACCGGTCCAAGTCAGGGATACGGATACGCCACTGAGCAACAGTTGACTGGTTTTGATGGCTCTCATGTGAAATGCAGCTGAGGGGGAGTCCCTCAAGCTCACAAACTAAACAGAAGGCCGTTTCTTTAGATTGAACATGTTCAGAAGAAACATGTCTCAAGGATCATGTTTTTTTGTAGCCAGTGCCCCATTTTAAACATGTTTAAACCATCACAAACCATTTTCCAGCTTTCAGGTGATCCCACGAGACCTATAGCATGCTTCAGCCTTTCAGTCCATCGGCATCAATCAGGTGTATATATATATATTATATATTTATATATATACTTATCTTATATAGGCGGCCAGCTATGAATGGCGAAATCACCAAGAGAGAGAGAGAGAGAGAGCAGCATCAATCACCAAGGGTGGACTTGAACATGGATTTCGGACTCCCAGAATTCCCTTCCATCAATTCCAACTCCTTTCCGCCGAAAGAAATCCCCGCCGATTCTCGTCGGTCCACTCCTGGGTCAACGCACAGGCCTTGGAGGAGCCCGACTATGTGGAGACCTCGGAGGAACGGATGGCGAAGCCGCCCCCATCCTTGGACGTGTGCGCGCCTTGGACCGAACCGTTTCACCAACCGCACCGGGCTGCCTTTGTGGCGCTGGCTGGTTGTTTGGCGTCTTGGATGGTGCTAGCTGAGTTCAAGTCCTAACATTTATTAGCACCCATCTACTGGATAGCGTGCACACCAGTAAGTGAAGACCCAATAACATTTAGAGCGGTTGAGTTTCTTGGAAGGCGCTTTGTCCTATATTTGCAGGATCCATGACCCTCTACGTCAACCCACGTGGGTTTTCAGACGTTTTTGTGAAAAACACATTGTTAAACTTGGATTAACCAGGTCCTTTCGATGGACCAACTCCTGCAGCACCGATGCACACACCTGCAAAACAAAGCCAGCAAAATGGAACTCTCCAAATCTCTCCTGTTTGTGTTTCTCACCCCGAAAGCGTGCGGACTCACGGATGTGGAACCCGGAAATGGCAGTGGCCCTCCCACGACGGATGTGCAGGTCCCACGTTCCGTCGGCATGTTCGATGTGTGCAGGTCCCTAGTGAGTTGGGGCATTTACGGTGACCGGGGACATGTTCTGGTGCCTCACATGTGCCTCTTTGCCGTCACATGTCCCCCGAAGAGAGAGAGGTGCGTCTCGGTCACGGTGCCGAAGACGTCTCGCTCGGACCGCGGTCACCGGAAGCGGCGGGATCGGTCGAAGCGAGGAGTTGGTTCGGATCAGTGCCAGCTTGAAACTTGGATGGGCCTTGGGTCAGGGAACGGACTCTATAGGCCTTAATAGGCCTTAAAGGGTCCCTACCCACCCCTACCCCTTTGATTCTCAACATATGTTGTTATATATTATATTATATGTTGTTGAGAAAACTATTTGACTTCTTTGTCATGTTGAATCCTTCTCTGGAAAAGCAGAAGAGTGGGGAGGTTCATCGAGCATTGTCTTGGATGGCACCAATTCTCACCAGCAGGGGTGATGCAAACGAACTTCATATATCTTCATATAGTTTGCATTTAACTCTACTATGGGCAACAAATACCCAAAAATCGACCTGCATGCTCCTGGCGGGTAAGTTGATGTAATTGTGTTTTGTGAGACTCACCACTTTGTATCCAAACCAGCTTTTCAGTGCTACGACGTGCCCCAGCGGGAAACGAGCGGAACGGGTGGGTGTCTTCCGACTCGGTCCGGCGTCGCGAAGCGAGGAATTACTCCATGCTGGGATCTGTGGCGGTGGCATGTCAAACTGGTTGGTTCTCCAAGAGTCTTGGCTTGAACGGTGCCGTGTACCGTAGGTGGGTCGCCCCAAAGCGGTGATCGCCCAGTGATTTACGGGGATCAGCCTTCTTCAGGCACAAGTTAGATTGACGTGGTGACATGGTTAAGAACAGGTTCGTTTGACCCAAGCTGGGCTTAGGAATGGAATTTCGAAGGGGATCAGCAAACAGAATTATACGACAGCTATCGTAGAATTCGATCCCAAAGATCGAGCCTTTTTGTTTGTTCTTTGGTAAACAGAGCAACAAAACTTAGCTGTTTGCGACGTTCCGTTATCGATTCATTGCCCCTTTCCCGGGTGCGCTATGAAGGCAGATGCTCAATAGGTTCTGGCTGGCCATCTCCTTTTCACTCCGAGAATGAATGCACAATTAGGACGCTACTACTAGCTGCTGGCCTTACTACTAGGAACAGGGACGCTACTAGGAGCAAAGGGCATCGCTACGAGTAGCAAGGATGCTAGTAGGGGCTCCTGGCCGCCTTACTGCTAGCACAATCCTGATGATTTCCGGGTCTTGGGACTGATGACTTGCCGTTGCCTGGAGTAGAATGGAAGCGTGTCGCAGATAGGCCAAAGGTGGGTTCACTGGACAGAAGATGGATCCCACACCCAGAAATGGCTCAACCTGTATGATATAAACGTTTCTGTACACTTTATAAATTGTAATTTGTAAGTATACCTTTGGTCTTTGGTGGTCACAGCTTTGTCACGACACCAAACAGTATTTTTCCATTGCAATGGAACATGAGTTAATGTGTACATCAAATCCATTTAAAGTTACTTGTTCGGAACACTATATAAACTGGCACCCAACACTGCCCGCCATGAGACGGATGTGCCCGAAGCATCCCAAAACCATGCGGAGTCTAAGCATCATATCCGTTGAAAGAGCAGAGTCGGGTTTGCTGAAGGTGATTCTTTTTTTGCTAAGTCCATTTATTGTTGATTTCTGTCATTTTCTTCTAGGACATGCATGGTCCAGTATTTCAATAGTCCCTGATCACCCACCAAAAGCAAAAACGCATTCTCATCCAACTTGTGCTTCGACTCCGAACAACTGGTGCACGCATGCCCCGGAAGCGCGCGCCTGGCACCTGGCACCGTTGCCGCGACTGGCGCCTCGCCAGGGATGGCAGCGAGGATCACTTCGACACCCCGCTCACAGCCTCCCAGACCTTTGATGCCTCAGAAGCTTTTTGATGCATTTTGATCCAAGGTGTGAGATGGTGTGGAGAAGCTTTTTGTGCCTTTTTGGTTCTGTTTCGTTTTTTTGTTTGAAGTCCTTTTGACTCCTTGGTAGGTCCTGCTTGCTTTGTTGGATTGCTTCGAGCTCGGCCGTGGGGATGAGTGAATTGAGGTTGATATTGTTGCCTAATGTTGCCTACGGGTATTGGGAGAGAGTCGGAGAGTGTCCATCCTGCACGAGAGTCGGAAGATGCATGCCCTGGATGAACAGACAGTCTATGGGAACAACCACGAAACACATCGAAACTTCGAATCGAAACATCCATGTCCACGGACCCTACAGGGTCTATCAACCCATGCCGAGCTGCCCGCACATCATGGTTTAACAGCTTGGCCCGCTCTCAGGAGGGCAGGTTTCGGTGTGTCCGCTTCCAGTCCACTGCGGTTGCTTGGATGGTTGGAAGGGAGCGACGAGTGGTTGCGAAAGGCTTCAGAAGCTAGGATCTTGGGCCTAGCAGGTCTTTGGCATCTTTGCACCCATGAGTTTGGAAAGTAATTATGTGGTTCCTTCATTGTTTGGGGAAGGCTGGGGGTTCGTGCCAGCTCGCTTGTGTGGATTCAAGAAGAATGATTGCAAATGGGTGAGCTGATGAACTTGCATTGGATCATGGAACTTGCAGCTTCCCTTCATGATTCATTATTTTGTTTCGGTGCTCAAGTCTTAGTATCCTGTAAAGCGGCTTTAGCTTGTCACTTGTTTGTCGAGCAGCTTGGCTTGTTGTGATAGTCCGTGAAAACCACACAGCTGAACATAAGTGCAGCTCCCGATTGTTTAAGCTGAATCTGTCCTGGAGCCGATGAAGTGTGCCAATTAAAGTCATCACTCATCACGCATAGGACTGACTGTGGCCGGAGGATAAACAGTAAAAAATGTATTTGTGTGTTTCCTGATGCAATCCTTGACAACCTTGAGGGAGAGTTCCTGACACCTCACGGCCCCTAGCCATATTGGCGCCACCTGCCATGACGGGGCGGATGGACCAGTGGTGCTGGTGGGCCAGTGGTCACTGCTGGGATCAAGCTCAGCTGAAGGATTGCGTAATTGGCTCAGCTCGGGTAGCGGCTTAGCAGATTGATCATCCAAAAGAAGCCGGGTCGATCGCAGGGCTTATAATTAGCTCACAGGCAAGGCTTGTTGTGATCCGCACGAAGGCGGCCGTTAAGTCTACTTGCTTTGTTCCCCACCTGCCAGATGAGGATTGTTCGGTTTGAGCTGTGCACCGGACCTCCGCCGCGAGCGGATCGCAGTGGGACCTGAACGAGACGGAAGGAATGCCAGAAAGGTGCAAGTATGCCAGATATTTTGTGAAGGATGTCGGAATTTATGTCAAAAGAGTGCCAGAAAATATCCCAATGCCAGAACATTTGAATGTTAGCATAGAATGCCAGAATATGTGCCATGTAGCTGATGAGGTGTCGGGGATGCGTGTAGAGTGCAGGCATTGATCCAATCGGTCAATGCTCCTTGGGGCAAGCACGAATGAACCGACAGCTCTATATTGTTTCAACATGACTGAACAGTGTTTGCCTTGCATATATATAGATACAAAAATCATTGCTATCACGGCATTCTATCCGGCAAATATTTTGGCATTCTATGGTGGTGATCAATCGAAGGAAAGTAACTGTGTTTTTGTTGTTTTTGTTGCCACGTAAATTTGGCCGACGCTGACTGGTTTGTCATTTGTAAACAGTTTCGATGGTAACATGCGGTGTGGAAAAAGTAATGGTTAACTAATGAATTCTGAGGCTGGATACCTCTACCAAGTCGGGCAGGAACGTATGGCAAAGGCACAGAGAACGCCATGCCATGAATGCCATCCTGGTCTGGAAGGCTGCCAAACCAGAGGAATACCGCAAGGCGAGTGCTGATGCCAAAAGAGTTCGATGTGTATTTTTTTGCACTTTGCCTTCCTTTTGTGGAAGTTTCAATCACACGTTAGGGGAATTGAATCGCAGCTAAGGTTTGGCACAAAATTATGGAAAAAAGGAGTGGATGTAGGACAATCACCCATAGTGGTCTATTACCCAGGTATGAGAGGGATGGGCAAAGTGACCGTGGATGGTTTGAAGAACTCTGAAAAACGTTTGTGGGTTTTGATCTCCTCAATCAGGGCCCTTGGAAGATTCCAGAAAGCGGAGGTTGCGACGCTTGAGTACACTAGATGGATGTGACGGAATTCCTACATTTTTTGTTGCCTCTGGAGAGAAGGTTGTGGCTTGGAATGCGGGCAAGGACAAGTGGATTAGAGGAGTGATCAAGAGCAAGAGAGAGCTTGATCAGCAAGATGATCGTTTCAAATGGACTGTGCAAGAGCAAGTAGATGACTCATCATCTCGCTCCTTCACCATTGCATCCGTTTGAAACGAGCATCTTGCTGTCCCTGAAGATCAAGTTGAATCCTTCGAAGCTGGGCTGAGAAATCGGAGAAATCGGAGAAATGGGTGGTCTACTCTATGGTCTTGACGAGAAGCTGAGACGGGGCTTCGAACGTTTGCCAGTTGCAGCGATTTCGAAAGGTGCAGCGATGTGCTGTGCGATTTCGAAGTCTCAAGTCAGCTGCCTTCGGATGAGACGGATAAGGACGCTACGGTGCCCACCTATTGGCAACTTCAAGTTGAACAAGTGGAGTTTGTAAGAGTTTATAAATACATGCTGATGAGCTCTACTAGGCTCACCCGATATCAAGAAGAGCAGCTTGCACAGGTGGGTGGTTCTGAAAAATACTTGGCCGTCTCCGCCGTCGTCGCGGCTGGCAAGGTCTTCAAGACTTTGATTGAGAGTGTTGAAGGAGTGTTATTTGTGGCCCCTTGCAAGTCGCTTTGCTTGCACTTTGTGCAATGGCTGCTCATCAGCAGCCATCGCACAAAGTGCTGGATCCCGGACTTGGTGCAGACGGCGTTTTGTTTTCTTGCCTCAAACTCATGTGCGAGCCCTACCGCAGCCTCATGACTGTGAGCATTTCTGACAAGGCAACTACAACTTGAAGAAATTAGTCCCACTGAGCACGAGTTTGTCCTTGCTGTGGTGGGTGAGTCTCATTGACATTGACACCTTTTCCCAGGTGTGGAGCAAGGGTTGCTGAGAGAGATGTTACGCAAATCAACACACAGAATTTTACTTTCTGATGTGTCTCAGTCTTCCGCATTGGAGCAGAACTTTGGCCATTGAAAAATGATTTGTTTGACCGAGAAGAGGCAGCTTCATCACCATTCCAAGATTAATTATCCGATGTTTCTGCCACCCATATTTTTCTGGGAATACAAGGCTAACGCTTCCTGAGGATCATGATGTCGAACTACGTATTTCGGGACACACCGGCCTTGATAACAGCAAGCTAGCAACATGGAGGTTGAAGAGGCTTAGTGAGACCAAGAGGTCATATCTAGAGTTTTTCACTGAATTCAGATCTGGATGGGGCTCCATCGAGTGCAGACCTTCGTAGTATTCTGCGATTCATCCAGCTGGGACTTGCTGGGTACCTCGAGAATATCCAAGAATCCCATTCATGATGGACTATAGACCAAGGGGTTTGACCCTGCAGAGCAGGGGTTTGGACCTTTAGGTTCCATGATCTGGACAAAAGGCATCGATTGAGAGGCCATTTTCTTTGACTCGAAACAATGGACCGAGGCCTGTCCGAAACGGGCGAAGAAATGCGTTTCACCGAGGCGGTGCCGAAAGAGGCCACTGTCACGTACTACAACTTCTACCTGGGACTCAAGGAACCAGCGCCTGGGATTCCTTGCTCCTTGGGAGGATGTTATCATATGTTGTCTATTGATCCAACAAGCAAGGAAGTGAACAACAGTGTACGAGTTGTCCATTTGCATTGGATTGGTGCTTTTATTTCCTTATACGAACACTGTTGCTGTTGCTTAGTTGCTTTGGTGAGGATTGTTCTTTCGATGTTAATCCCCTGGACTTCAATTGCTCTCTAGGCCAACCAAGGCTAAAGGCAGGGATTGAAAGTTTCGAGATGGGGAATCGGCAAGGAAAAGCACGGTACTTTCTGGCGGATACGACAAGACCGACAATACCCATTAACCAGCCAAAGAGAGTTGATGTTCATCATACCCACACAACCCGTGTATGATACATGATACATCTATACTGTATAATTACTCCAATGATACACGTTTATTCATGATGTGTTTGGGCTACTTCCCAAGTGGACGTGTTTTGGTCGTCAAGCATAGAATCCGTAGGCGCCTCAGCCAGTAGGGCCTTGATTTCGGCATCACTTCGACTAACGGCTTTGGTCGAGAGAACCTCAATGGTCAAAAGACAATCGGCTCTTTGGAAGATGGGATGTGACTGAAATCAAAGCACCAGATTTTGAGAGTCTCCATGTTCCAAGGTTGAAGAAAGCCCGTATTCCTTTCAGTACTCAGGAAGACTTGCAAGAGATTTCTCACCAGACTCTTCTGGAGGTTTCGCATGGTGAGACGGCGCATGGGCGTCTCCTGGGACCCAGCTCCGTCTTCCGCTTTGAGGTGCACCCGAAGCTGTACCGCTTTGGCGGCCAGTACATTGCAGGCCTTTCTGTTTGTTCGCACGGAAGACAAGTGGAGGGGGTATCTAATGATGTCACTTGTCCATGAAGATGAACCTGTAAATGTATGATGTCTAAACTAGGTTCGCAAACGATCTTGCATGACTCACACCAGGTTCCATCGCGGCAGTCTGAAATTTGGCAAGCCTGTAGATGTGTTGGGCCTTCGGTGATGGTTTTGTTCCGCTTGCTCGCTCAGGGCTGGTATTCAGGCCATCATTGGCTGAGATGCTTGGAGAACCAGACAGACTGACTTGATGAGATCAAATGGAGGATCACTCCCAAGTACTTAGTGCCTATGAGGATGGGCCAAAGGGGGCTGGAGACACAAGAAGAAGGCACTACACTACGTGGTTGCATGCACAGGTTGGCTCCATACCTGTTTTGCAGTTATTTGGAATGATCATAACCGTCCATTACAAGCAAAGTGTTTCAAAAAATCCAGCAAACCAGTCTATCTGCTAACCACAGTTGGCGTCGTTTTGGGTAACATGTTCCATTGTTTCGGTCCTCTCGCGGGTTGGAGGGGCCGTGGGAGTGCGCGACCACGGTGATGGGAGTGCACGGGTGACGTTTGGACCACCCAGTGGATAAATGAGTAGTATTGTGGCACCCCGATTCAATCGCTTCCCCAAACGTAGTAGTATTTCCTGTTTGAGAAAGAAGAAGTCCTGCTCCACCTAGGAAACCATCGGCAATATCCTATCCACTTTTTTCGATGCTACTAGGAGACAAGTTCTCCACCCAAAAACCATCGACAAGATCTACGGCACTTCCCCGTCCTACATTGGTTTTGTTCGTTCATACGTCGCCACGATCATCACGCCCTCGCCATGTTTCACCCACCGATCCTCGGCGAATCCCAGGAACGCCAGCAATCAGTTCGCCTTTCAAGAAGACTCGTGCTTGCATGACTGGAACGAGCGGTTTCCAGTGGCTGCGGGTCATGAAACCTCATGACTGGAGTGTGTTTAGGGATGACTGGAGACGAGAAGGATCTTATTCTTGGGTGTGGAACTGAGTGTATTGGCTGGTGTCGATTTCAGTAATTTATCTATTTAGGACTGTCGGTGCGGGTGGGCCTTCCATGTTTGGCGACTTAGCCATTCTTAGCCTGCAAGAGGCTCAAACAATCGATAGCTTTGAAATGAAAACCACTTGTTTTTGATGCGTTTGAAGCACATATCATATTCTCCTCACAGTCGATGCTCGGCAGAGTATCTACCTTCCAGTCTTGATCAAAGCCGGCTTTGGCTTTGGGAAAGCTCCCCGCCGCGGCCAAGAGAAGTGATTTGCATACCCCCAAACCACCCACACGAAACAAGCGCTTGGGGATCCAAGTGAGACATGGTGTCCTGGACCTGCTGCAAACATCCATTATGTCTGTGAGGCTGTGAGGTTTGGTTACGATCATACCGGGTTTGCCAAACAGGCGACAGAGAAAGCGACTGAAAAAGCGCCTGGAAGGGACATTGTTGCCATCTAAATCATGACCCATAGGCGATCAAACAAACGAAGAACCATGCGTTTGTGTGTGTTGATTTTTGTTACACTCCTTTTTGTGTGGTTCTTCCTTGGACTTACTTACAAAGCTTCTATGAGCGACCTTTTTGCACTGAGTGAATGCACACTCTTGAGTCCTGCAGTTTAACGCTTTGTTCTGAGCCTTGGGCACAAGAAGCCACAGCCAACCCTGCAATTTTCGTGTCTTGCTGGTGTGACGAAGTCCCCGCGAGCCATGTTTATGTTGCACTTGCTACTCGCTGCACTTAGCTTTGGTGGAGAGGCGGCATGCTATGGTGACGGACTGTTTGCTGCTGAGAATTGGCCGTTCTGCCAGGCTCAGAAAGAATCTCGAGAAAGATGCATGTTCAAGCCATGTCCAAAAGAGCTGACCCCCTCCCCACAAAATCATCATGGACCATGATAATCTTTGTAACTATAATCATAATGCTAAACCACATGCTTATATACATCCAACTTGGGCAGAGTTCCCCTCCATATTTCCTGCAAGGACCTGGGTAACGGGCTGCTGATGTACTTTGGTCCCAGTACCGATGGAGACTTCATGAAGCTGGGTCTTCACGCCGCGAATTTCACAGGGGGATGGAGCGCTCTGGGCATCGGTGGAAGCTTAGGCTTAGATTTTGGTGCAGTAGACGTTTGTTGTTTCTTTTAAGTGGGAACATTCAAACTTAGGGAGTTCACAAACGCGCTCCATGGACCTGTGTAACTGCCGCAGATGTTTGTAGAAGAAGTTTGCAGCAAGTTCAGGGTAGATAGCACAACCCCCTTTGGCACCTGTAGACTTGGGTTACAAACATCAGACAACACCTTCCGGATTTTGTTGCATGCATCTACTACACTGAAAAGGCTCAGAGTAGGGAATTTGGTGTGAAAAGGGATTGGCAGGGCACCCAGTCTGAGGAAATGGCGGCATGAAGGGTGCCCAGCAGATTGTGGTTCGCAAGGCTGGAATGGACCAGCGCTCACTGGGATCTCTGATGGGGATAGTCCCCGTGTTGAAACATGTTCCGTCATCCTCAGTCATCCATCGATCACGGAAAAAGACATTAGTTCTAGAAATGAGTTCTAGAGATGTATGTCTCAAAAAAAACAACTGTAGATGACATTACCTGACTGAACTCCAAACTCAACGACTTCGTCCAGACCGACCTCGTCCCAGACCTCAGATGTGAAATTCTCGACTTCGGCACAGGTCAATGGCGACTTCGTGGCAGAGGAGCGCTATTCCACGGATTATGTGACACCCCAACTTCAAGCGACTCAAGAAGCCTCCGATGTGCTCCAGTCACAAACTGTTTTTGGGATATTTTTTGTTAGGCGGAGCGTTTGGGGACCACAAACCTAAAGCCCCTGATTGGTGGTCCCAAACGCATTCAAACACATTGAACGGATTGATGATGTTGGTTTACTTCTTTGGCGATGATGGTGCAAACATAAGTTTGATCTTTGCAGATATCCGGATATCCTAAAGGAAAACAACCACAGAACCGCGACTGAATGTATTTTTCTTCTCAGATCCGAGCACCACACTGCGAAAGCGAGGAAGTCTTGCTTTTCTTTGCATCCGAGAGTGATGGACATACCTCCTGGGGCGTCCTTTTACCCACAAAGTCCTGTCAAGCGGGCGAACGGTATGCCGTGGAAGATGTGGGGATGTACATGCATTGGGCCTTGGGTGACTCACATGACTTTGGTTACCACACCTCGCGCGGACAGTTCCACACGAATCTGGTGGCCGGACCACCTGCGCCACCACCAGACATGAGTGCTTATGATGCAGTCTTGCTTACCATGCCGGAGGTTCCCGTAGTCTTGGGAGAAGGTGGGAGTGATGCAAAGAACCCCTACATTTGCGGCATCTTTGATATGGACCAAGTCTTGCCCAACATGCGCATTGCTTCGGAGAAACATCATGCTGCGAGCTTTGCGCCCATCTTGGATTCAGCATCCAAAGAGTTTCTGAACTTGGTGTGGGGTACGGCACCTTTTTTGCCAATGTTGTCAATATGTTGCACCCTGGAGATTCAACATAATGGGGGCTGACTGTTTTTTGCATCGGTTTGCTTTTTTGTTAGAAGTGACGTGAGACTCCCCCTCTTCTCCATTCTTCCCCTCTCGCTCTTCTCGCTATCATTTCGATCTGGAGCAAGTGAGGTTTGTGCACCACATGGTTCTATTTGAGTGCACCGAGCAAGCTGCGCTGGAGAACAATTTCACCCACCAGCAAGTCATCAGCAACTGTGAGCGCATGGTGCAGGGGTGTCAGAGCACGAAATGGCCCTGGGCAGTCGGGGGTGAAGATTTAGTGCTGCCCACAGACGTCGGCATCCCCATTGGAGATGGAGCTCGCTGGTATGCACTGCAAGTGCACTACTACAACCCGCGCATGCAGACAGGCGAGGCGGCAACACTGCGAACACTGAACCACACGATGTTTTTCTACGATTTTCTACGTAGATGCGAATCCAGACGTGTTTGTGAACGGGAATTCACAGGTCCAAGTATACTTCATGTCTAGCTGTCTTCCTCGTTCACCTCCTACTCCACTGACATCCGCTGACACATGTGCCGACCGGCCTTGTTGTGTCCCAGGTGTGCGCGACAGCAGCGGGGTTCATGTGAGCCTGGCGCCCAGCCTGCGCACCTACGATGCGGAGAGCTTCGGTCTCATGGGCGGAGTGAACCCGATGCAGCGAGACCCTTTGCCACCGGGTCATGCCAACTACGAGATCCCCAGCATGGTGGTACCGGCCGAGTGCACACAGCAGTGGACCGCCGAGGAGATTTTTATATTTTGAGCGTAGTGGTGGTGGTTTTGGGTGTTGGAAGAGCTGAATCACAAAAGATTGAACCACGGGATGTGTTTGGACATGCCGCCTTTGGCGAGAAATCTACAACATGATGTTTCGATTCGACTCAAGACCACCAGACTTTGTTTTAGTATGACTTATATGACGGATGCTGAGAAAATACATAGACATAAATGTACGTATTTGAAATGCGAATCAATGATCATCTACCAAAGCACTCCGGGGCAACTCGGCAACTCTGTTAGGAGATCACCGTCTTGGGAGTGATGCATCATGCTCACCTGGTAGGCAAGAAGCTCAGCATCCACGTGAATCGCAATGGCAAATATTTGGGGGAAATGCGTCGCGAAAAGGTCTATGATTTCAATCATCAATCCCTGGAGGGTTCGTCCATCAAGAAGCTGAAAAGGGGAGATGAGCTGACCTTAACTTGTAGCTATGATACCTCCAAGCAGATGGCGCCTACGAGTTTCGGCGACTTCACTCAAGATGAGATGTGCTTGGCCTATTTTCTTCATTACCCCGCACAGAAGGCACGACGTAGCATTTTCCTTCGTGCCATGGGCAACAACCGGATCTCCTTGTGCATTGACCCTGCGGTCATGAGTGGCTTCCAGGTAGGCCAAGGTGAGGGTGGTGCAAATAGGACCCAGCTCATGAACATGGCCATCACCTCGCAAGCTCCATCTTTGACCCCTCCAACATGTCAAGCCCGTGGCAACTTGCGATCTCTGGCAGCCATGGATGTGCTGAGTAGTATGGGGGTGGATGTCTCGAACTTTGTAGTGGATCATTCTCATGCCAAGGCCATAGGTTTCTTCACTTGTGCTGCGACTTTCCTGGGGCTTTTTATGTGACGCGTGCTGAAGGCAGCGCCAATTAATCTGTTTCGTGCCGGTCTCCGAGCTTGGCGTTGGCTCATTTTCCATCGCTGCTGGAACCGTGCCCGGTGGCCGAGATCCACTGGGCACGGTCCATTTCGGCAGTGGTTTCTGAGACGAGACATCCGCGGCTCCGGGTTCCAGCAAATCTGGGGCTCGCGGGGTCGCAGTATCTTCATATAGCTCCGGAGTTCCACAAAAACACCCGCACCAAAATGGGTACCGCCTAGCTCTAATTATTTGAGGGTGTGGGTCACCTCTGGAATTATTATTGGCAAAACAATTTTTGAAAATTGAACAATTACAAAAAACGATGTAGTGGTGGATCTCAAATAACTTTCAGTGCACATACCTCAAACATGTGAGGTATATCCAGAATATTTTTAACATAAGGTAGCTATAACATGTATGAAGGACCTCAAATAATTGTGCAATTCGGATGCTTCCGCAAGCAGACAAACCTCAGCTGCCTTCTCATGAGGGGAAGAAATAGATCGCTTGGATCGCAGATGGAATCCCTTTAAATCTTTTTGCATTTTTTTGCTATAGGAGCGGTTGATGCGGATGTTCGTGCCTTCCAACGTGATGCCGGGCTACAGGACGGTCTCAACAGAAAAACACATGTCGTTTGAAACGGTGGACATGGGTTGAAGAGGAAGCGTGGTCGGTGATCATTCTGAAATGGACTGTTGACTAATGATGACTATGCATTTCATTGAAATTTACTGGGGTGGTTATTGAAGGGTAGGGAAAGGGTCAACTGATGACAACTGGTTTGTTCGATGATGGGAGTTAATTAAATATGACGTCATTGCAAAAAAAACATGTAATTATTGCTCCAGCCGGTGATGTTGCGCAAATGAATACTTGTTGGGTTGATGTATTTGAGGCTCCTGACCAAGTCCAGCAGGGCAGGCGTGGGATGCTTGTTGCTCTTCTCGGACGTTGGTTGATGCGTTCAATCTCTGGGTCTTCGCGCTCAACCTGTACAGCATTGCGACCACTCAACCTGTACAGGATTCCACATCAATGCTCTCCCCCCCTTCAAGCTTGCGCCCTGAGCTGCATCAGTTCCCCCAAAGGAGCAACATGGACCTGGCAGACCACGAGAAACCTACGAGGAACCTACCCCAGACCACGGGCACCGCAAACATCCCCCAACCATGGAACGATAACGTTTTCTTACCAAGCAAAACCAAGGTTTGTGATAATGTGTATGTGTATATATGACCGTATATTACAGTGCGAACACCTGGTTTTTGATAGTTTTCACACTGTGTCCTGGTAAATAAAGAGCCCACCCCAGCCCCAGACCTACCCCAAACTCCATCCCATCAATCGTTTTCTCAGTGGCACATGTGACACAAGCAGGAACGTGGTGGCCACGGCCACTCCATCCTTGGCCAAATGGGTGGACACCCTGGGCGGTCGAATGGGAGCCGCCAGCGCCTTGGTGGGCTCGATTGGTCCGCGTCGAAGTGTCAAGGCACTTGCATGTGGTCATCATGGTGTGTAGTCATCAGTATGTAGTCATTTTTTGTTCGATCGCTATCCTTTTGTTTTCTTGTCCCATGTTCTCCACGTCATCAAATGTGTGTGCGGCACAGAATGACTGCTTAACATTCTTAGCCATCCCTAGCATGAATGAACACCTTAGCATGCGCAGTTCGCGTTCCCAGGAGGTACCTTCGTTGGTCAACTTAAGCCAAGGGATCTCCATGGCTTCACCTGTAACAGCGATTATATAGTGAGGAATAGTGAGGATGCTTCGGTAAAACAAACAAAAATCTGTGTGTTGAACACTTCCCAATCACATGCTGCATTGGAGGGAAGTCCCGTTGTCTGAGTCCCCTCCTCTTTTGATGTGCATCTTGGATCAGTGTTGCTCGCCTTTTGAGCCAACCTTCCACGGGTTATTTGAGGTGAGGACACCTTCTATTTTGCGGCCACTTGGCAAAAACAAGCATTTGGTTTGGTCAGTCCAAACGGGCCGTTGTTGTTTTTCATGGGCGGGTCCGGAGGGGTCCACACGAAAGTGAAATGAAAAGCAAGGACCTCATCGGTTCCGTGTGCACACTTTCGACTCTCTTGATCAGATCGGTTCCGTTGCCGAGTTCCTTTGTGGTATCGCGAGGATATGACCTTAGTGCCAGAGTCCCTGCAACGGACCAGCGATGTCAACTCCCACACGACCGCGGACTCCTTCAGGCCACCGTCGGTCAGTGGAAGGGCGGTGAGGTCGGTGAGTGGAAGACTAAAGGATGTCCGACAGTCAAGGAACCACGTTCCATCTGGACAACCCCTATCCAATCACCAAGGTATTGAACCAGGCGGTCAGTGGATGTGCTGAAACATGGTGAAACCATGGTGAAACCATGGTGAAACCAAACAACATCCAACATCCGATCTCCTTCCACAATGGATCAACTGCACGGAAATGGCTTGAAGTACGTAGCCATAGCTGCAAGATCCAGCAAGCCCCAGATGCCCCGGTGCCGTATTTGGTTTACTGAGTCTACTGAGTCGCCATATAATCAAGGCAGAGATTTGAGCCTGGTCGGATGCCTCCTTTTCTACCTGGATTGGAATCGACCGATGGGGTCTTACGACTGAAGGGGTTCTATGGCAGGTACACTCTGAAGATCGGCTTGCCTTTGTCCACCGATTTGGTGCGTGTGAAGCTTCACATCAACGATGTGCTGCAGCTTGGCAGTTCTCGGCGGCGTGGGATCAACGTGAGAAGGCAAGATGAGGGCTCAGCCCGGGTTCAGCACTTGTATATCAGGGTGCTGCCACTAACGAAGTGTATGGTGCTTTACCAAACTACTGGTACCAGGTACCAGGTTTGTCCAAAGTAGGGCCTTTTTGGTGACTATTTATGGACCATGGAATTTACTATATATGTGTGGTAATTACAATTGCTGCCTTCAACTGATGTCCAGGAGATTGAATTCCCCAGGAGCTTCATATGCATAGCACTGCCTTCAACACAACCCGGCGGGACCCCACCGCTTTGAGGAAGTGTCTCCTCAACTGGCTTGGCGAGTTGACCTCCGCCACCGCAGCCTCTCGGCCGTGGCGGGTTGGCGGAGAAGACATGACAAGACATGGCGGGAAGGCCGGGAAGGGGTAGGCACTCCATCCGACTCCATCTCTAGACTCTAGCAACAGGGCCTTTTGCACTTAGGACTTTGTTGGTGTCACTCCAGGGACTTGAGGTCATTTGATTTGTTTAGGGATGAATCGCTTCTGTACTGTAAGAGAGATACGTTCTTGGAACTAGCACGGGATGCAATTGCAAGAGCCCTTCATCCAAAGACTTTCGCATGCAGTTGGCTTCAGGTCTTCAAATTGATCACCAACCTCTTTCCAGCCATGGAGAAGGACGGTTGAATATGGCATCCCATTCTGAGAACAGAGATGGCAATCCAACATGAGTTGACAAAAGAAGGACACAGGAGATGGCTCCAGAGATGCCTCCTTATTATGCCTCCTTTTCTACCGGATGCTATGCATGCCATCCCCAAAATGAACAAAGACGACTTTTCAAAATGGGACACGGGCTTGTGGCCGGCCCCACTCAAGAGCAGTAGATAGCATCGCTCAGTTGAGGCCTAACTCCCTCATTGCCTTGGATGTCCAACATGTTCCAGACATCTTTTTTGCAGCTCAACAACGGCTCAGAGCTTGGCTCAGAGCTTGGGCCTAACTCCCTCACCAGGAGACCTTTCGCCTCTTTCTGCATTTGCCCTGGCTACATTTGGGTTTGGCCCATCCGTCAGAATTGGACCCCTTGGTGGCTTGGATGACCGTCCTGGGAGCGCCGCGGAAGTCAAAGCCGATCCGAGGTGGAGCCCTCTCAAAGGCCAATGTTCAAGAGACACGGTCAATATCCATCACCAATCAAAGATGTGTGGTGTGTACAGCACAGGCATTATGTATTGCAAATGGACACTGGACATGTGTTGGGAAGTAGCTTGTGGGTTTGTTTTTGTGCCTTCAAATTCGGTCACAACTTTGCGGTAACGAAGCTCAGGAAGAAGTCAGCAACAGCTCAGTTTGAACAGGCTATAGGATCATGACTAGGATCATGCTGAAAACAAAATCGGAATATTTATGTTGGTGGACATCTTTGCTTGGTTCGTGGAGTCAGCGAAAGCATGCGCATCAAAGCGTACAAATTAACTATATGATTGCATGTACCGACATATTCTTATACTCCATGTACCTGTTTCTTGCGGAGTCATTGCATGTTGTATGACTATACTCGTCATGAACGAGGCCTCATAGTTGAATCTTCATGACTACTGGCTAGTGGCGCACTCAACCAGTTTCTTTTCCTCTGACATCTCCACCCCAATCATGCAGATCCACCGCTTGAGGCCAAATGCCGTCCGGAGACCGCAGAGCCGTGAGCGTCGAAAAGTGCTGCGGGGAGAAACCCGATTTGGTGACGGCTGGAAGACAAGATCATCGCGTGGGCTCGCCAGCCCTTTTTTGCAATGAAGTTCGGGGCATGCAGAATCACCGAGACACTTGTGACACGTCACATTGTTACACCATGTTACACCCCATTGGCTTCGCAGAAGTTGAGGGAAGAATTCCTGAACCACCTGACATTAGAAAAACCACTTCAGCACTATTTGCAGGGCTTGTATGTCTCACTCAGTGCATGACATGTTTCTTCCATAAAGTTACTTCTTATTTGTACTTGGGATTCACTAGTGGCCTGGTGGATCACGGGCGGTCGATCAGGGACGGACAGACGGACGGATACCTCGTCACAATCCTTAAGAAAGCGCTTCGGCCAACCAGCTGGACCAACTCTTTGTGTTTGTCGAGATCATTTTGGGCAGGACACATAGGCAAAAATATGTGCTTAAGTCCCTAGGCTTTGTTTGAAGCCATTCACGAGTCTTGGAGTCGAGAAGGGGCATCTGCCAAACAGGCTTGGATGGCTCAGAGGCGATTCTTGTGGGCGATGCAACCCCTGATACCGAGTATCGGATGAAGACACAGAACCACTTGGGTGTGGGTCACAGCTGGATTGGATTGCCCATGACATCCTCTTACTGTGACAGACATTGGCTGACACTGGTGGCTGGAGAATCCTGGCAGTACCAAGCTGACACTGGTGGCTGGTCTATGTTTCAAGCTCTTCGCCTTCAATTAAGAGGTTTCGGGGACGCTGGAAGCCACTCATAATATGAGCAATGTAAATAATATGTTCACGGCAGAGATCATAGACATTCTGCTTAGTCAACATCTAGAATTTAGAAGTTCCAGTTGGGTTGGCCCTGGCTTTGCATAATAATTATTATTGCGCTAAACCCTTTGGGACAGGAGAAAGAGAGATAATAAAGGTGCAAAATCATGAGAGTCCTTCATGGTGAAGCTACTGTTCGTGCACGACGCTCAAGATCTTAAGGAGCTGCACAGGAAGCAAAGGATCATTTGTAGTCACATGCTGAGGATTTTGTTTTCAGTACCTCCGTGACTGGTAGCTTCATCCCATTCCGGTCCTCTTTGAGGATGTCATTGATTGGAGGTCCATTCGGCACTCCCGGACTTTTCTGGAGTGTCTTCAAAGATCAGCAGGGTCATTGTTGCATGTTGTGGGACTTTTGAGTGACACCCAAATTTTGACGGAGGGCTGAATCCTGACTAAACATACAATTAAACATACAGCATCAGTCATGGACCTCCCAACATGTCACCACCTGAAGCTTTCTTGTCACCAATAATTAGGCCTCCAGAAGTGAGTTGGAGGGTGCTGGAATTGAAATTCTTCCGTGGCAACCGTTGACATTCTTTGCTCTGGCTTTGTGCTGCTCAAGTCACTAAGTTTTACAGGCCCTTTATTTGCACTCGGCGCAGCTGGCGGAATCCCCGCGCGCTGCTACCGAGTTTCTTCATGTCCCTCGGCAATGGTTTGGTGAATCAGCTGCCGCAACCAGGAGATATATGAAGCCAACCCTTTCATTCACTCATGAACTCATTTGGCCTGGGGGGAGGGGTTGTGGGTGTTTGAGAAATGGATATAGTTTCCTGAACCTCAGGAACTTATCAACTCAAAAAAAAATATGTGTCAGTGCGACACGGGAACAACCAGGAGAGCTACTGTAGACTCCAAAAACGTGCCATGCTTTTTGGAGGAACATCATTTCAGGAGGTCCCGGTCTATGTTTAGGTCCATGGTTTTTGTGTTTGACAGATAACTCAGATAACTGAACAGTTTAACCAGCATCAACTGCAAAAGATTGGTGGTTCTCAATCAGTCCTTAGTGGTCAAGACTTGTCGTTAGAGCCTGTCTATGTTTTTTGGAAACCGTCCTGCAACTCTCGACCATACATTTACTCCGACTTGAAAATGCATGGCTCGGAATTTGCTATTGTGCCATCTACTGGCCATTGAGACAATTGGCAAATCTACCCAAATTTTCTCCAGTACATGGCGCAACATGACCTTTGTTTCTTTAAGATCTTTTATCCTTAAGGTGTGTTGAGCCGTCTATTGGCAGAAAACCGGTTATTATCATCAAACTCACACCGCTTTTACCTTGGGGACTCGTTCAAAGACTTGTCGGACTCGGTGGTCTCCCCCGCGGCCCAGGTCATGTTCCCCCCCAAGAGGTCCTCCTTCCGGAATCCCAACGATGCGAGCTGCGCCCTAGGCGGGGAAGAGGGCGACAGACGTAGAGCGACCGACGTAGGCAGGAAAGGATGTTGCCAAGTGAGTGGTGACATCAGGTTCCGTTTATTTTCGTGGAAGTCTCACGGTGTAGTAATTCAACCGAGTGCAGAATGTGCAAAACCAAGCCAACAGCCGGAAGGAAGAATTATCACTTATTGCACTACTTATTGCATAAAGTGGCACCCAACGACATCTAGAGTTTGAAGCAGAAAGACTTACTACTTGCTTAGCTTTCAGTTCAACCCAGGCGGCATTGGACGGTTTACGCAGAATTATGTTGTAGTTGCACGAAGTTTCTGTTAAGAACTGAGGAGGGGGACTGCCGGGGTTAGCATGGAGTCGAGGATGCGATATTATTCAGTTCCGACATGAGCTTTGGAGTTGGATTTGTCGCTGTTGTTTTATCTTGAGAGCCATTCATCCAACTCCCAGCTCAAAGAAGGTCACCCTCGGTCGAATTCCACTTGTAAACTCCCATGGCCAACGACACTCGTTTTCATCTTGTACCCGGACCATGCATTTGTACCATGGTCGCCAACAGACGACTCATCGGCTACTAGGGCCTTTAGTTGCCTCAACTACTGCCACCTTGGCTCGCAAAACGCCCGGTCCACCGGTTTCGGGGTGCCGAGCCCGAACCGCGGGGCGGGTGGACATTTCGGTTCATACTCTATTTCAGTGTTTCCCGACGTCTTGCTCTTCAGTTCCCGAGTTGCTGGTGTTGTCTTCCTCCGGAAGAAATGTGTTTTTTTTCCGTTTCCGCGAGGTCTTTGGATCCTCTTGGTCGTGGCCTTCATCGCCTTCGTGGCGATGACTCTCCGGAGCTTCTGGGAGGACGTGCAGCGACCCACTCGGGAGAGCGGCTCGAGTGGCATTTGTTGGTGGAACTCTGATGTTGAAGGCAACCATCCTCCCTCCGTGGTAAAATGCCTTGAATCCAAAATTGATCCAAATATTTGCGAATTGGTTCGCACTTCGCACCTGTGCCATTCTCTATGAAAGAGAGGCCGGATCACCGGATGGCTGCACCGAATGAAACGAATTCGAGGTGTCTCCAACGAACGGCTGCAGATGCCCACGGTGAGACACTTGGCATCGGGTCACTGGACGTGTTTCCCCGAGGGGTCATTGGACGGATGTGCAGCTGATCCTGTGAAGGACACCGGCTTTGTTGAATGGCACCCCCAGCATGGCGCAGTATGCACAAGTATATACCAACAGCACTGTGTCATTTGCCCGGACAATGTTATGCGTGATGTGCAAAGATCTGTAGCTTATGGGTCGGTCGCACTCTGATCAAAATGGCAGCAGTGCTCACTTCCATCCAGAGATAGAGGATAGTTAGAGATAGTTAGAGATATTTAGAGATCTATTCTATACAAACAGCGGCAGTAGAAGGTTCGAAAACTATTTGCTTGGGAAGGAAGCAGGATAGTGAACTTGAAAGTTGAATATCCAGACTGCAATCAGTAGTCGCCTGAGATCTTCAGTCCACCATGCTGTGGCTTCAGACAATTGTTCAACATGTTTCAACCTGTGTTGGGCTGTATGGATCCTTTCGTTTAATTTTGAGGATGCCTCCAATGCGTTCACTAACTCACAGACGCTCGTAGAGTTGTTCAACAAAATCTGCGTAGTGAATGGGAACAGTTTCAGTAATACACCCGACCTAAATAGAGGATTTCCTGAGATGTGCTTCTCCGATGGAGTGTGTGGTTCTCTGATGGCGATGTGGCTCTCCTTCTCAGGACTGGATGTTTGTGAGCTGAAAGTTTTCCAACGCATCTGAGACCAACTGTGTTGGGGGAAGCGCCGGGAAGCGCGGGGGTTGTTAGCAGGTCGACCGTGCGCGTGTCAGGGACTGGGTCAGGGATTTGTCGGACAGGGTCAGGGTTTCATAGTTGGACATGTGGCCTTCGGAAGAAAGACAGGAAATTCAATCATCATCGGATCAGTTACCCGACGGTCAAACTTCAATGAAGGGTAGGTGACAGGGACCAGCTCATCCAAGGCAGTTTGAACTACTCGCTGCTGGAGCATTTGCCTCTTGATCAAATTTGCTGGTCGAACTTTGCGGAAGGGTCCCCGCCTGAAATTTCTATGCGAGATGCACTTAGACTCCAGCCAAACACCCAGCGAAACCGTTCTGTGACTTTTTATGTTGGTCATCACATGCAGTGCAAAGGGAGTCGAATCCACTGTGGGGCGCAGACATTCCAGACATTCTGAGAGTTCGAAGACGCCTGGGCCCTGGATGTTTGTTCGAAGGTCCTGGAGGCTCCAGGGGAGGGAGTTTCGTGTTGGTCCAAAAATCACCAGAACAGCCAAGGCTTTTGGAGAGAGAGTTGGAGTTCCTCATGCCGAACGGCACGGAGCCTGCCGCCACATTGTTGGGGTGCTGTTTCTGCCAGTTTCTAGTGGAAGACGGTGAAGGAGTTGCAACGAGTCGCCCCGACGGGATGATGGAGGCACCTGGATTTGAGGATCTGATGTGTTGAGAACAACTGCTTTTGGATGTTTTGGTATGGAAGAACAACTTTTGGATTGCAGAGTCCCTTGGCTTTTCCCACCAACCCCGGTGAAGAAAGAAAAGCTAAACGTAAACCGTCAGAACCAAGCATGGGCACCCTCAACCATCAAAACAACGTCTTCCAGGACCTTCAAAGTGATTTCTTTGGAGTCTCTAAGTGACCTTGTACAGACCTAAGTGACCTCATCCTGGGATATCAAAGGGTCACTTTGAAGGTACTGGTTTATTGACCGTAACCAAAACCTCGTGTTGGTCGCCGTGCCCGGAGACCCGCCAGGAGTTTTGGCACCGTGATGTCTTGGACCGACACCAGGTGCCACAGGCACGGAGCCCGACCAACCTGCGACCGGACTCCACATGTGTCATGGTTGTAACTGTTTAAACCTACTTGGGTGTAGAAACACATCTTTAGGGTATGGCCGGTATGGCCCAATACCAGTAACAGTCAGCAAAAGTTTTTGAGAAAGGCCTTTGCTAACCACCATCATCCACTGTTACTGGTATATACCGAACTTTAGTGATCAGTTATACATCAATTGTTAAATACACGTGTTCATAGCAACCCCACCAAGTTTGGGAGCTCCGGGTAGGATGACCACCGCCAACAGAAGTTTGGATTAAGGCCAAGCTGGGTTGGGTGGACAAAGAAACAGCCCATGCTCTCTCTTTGTACGTTTTTGATGGAATACCCAGTACGTACACAATTTTGTACGACCCTCACACAACACCAGATACATGATGTCAGCCTCTATATAGAGCCTCTATATAGATGATTCATGATGAGTCCATGAATTTTGCTCGTTTTCGATAGGGATTTTTGAATGGATCTTGAGCTGGTGCAGGTGGAGGTTGGCCCGATGAAGTGTTTGCGGCTCTTCTCGATGCAAGAGGTGCCACAGGAGTTGTGGGGTGAGGTCCGACATGAAGCTCGGTGTCTCGGTGTCGAAGCCATTTGGAGGTCAAAGGTGCATGACACCCTTCTTTATGTGCAAAGTGTGCTTGTTCCCCACCTGCCAGGTGAGGGGTGTTGGATTTTTATGTCAGCTGCCTTCCGCCTCCTCTCCTCTCCTCTCCTCTCCTCTCCTCTCCTCTCCTCTCCTCTCCTCTCCTCTCCTCTCCTCTCCTCTCCTCTCCTCTCCTCTCCTCTCCTCTCCTCTCCTCTCCTCTCCTCTCCTCTCTTCTCCTCGTCAACCGCAAGTGTTGGCTGGCAGTGTTCCCCCGGCAGACCTCAACCGCGAGCTTCGGCTGGCAGTGTTTCCCGCCGGACCTCAACCGCGAGTCAGAAGATATGCCAGAAAAAAACGCCAGAAAGAATATCAGAAGTATGCAGAAGATATGCCAGAAAGAATGTCAAAAGACATGCCAGAAAGAATGTCAGAAGATATGCAAGAAAGCATGCCAGAAGAGAGGCCAGAAAGAATGTCAGAAGATATGCCGGAAATAATGTCAGAAATAGTGTCAGATGAAAGAATGCCAGAAGATATGCCAGAAAGAATGCCGACATATTGTTTGAATACATGCCAGAAAGCTTGTCATCAGACTGAAATGTCATGGTGGGGATCACTCGAAGTAACGTATTTTGTATGTGTGGTTTGTTTCAAGAAGGATCAAGTTGTCAACTGTCTCAAGTCTAACGTATTTATCCGGGAAACCCTCCAATCCTGCTTGAACAGCTTAATTTGCGCATGTCAGAGATCGCCAAGAGGCACAGATGAAACCTGGACCAATTGCCAAGAAATCGCCAATTAACGTATTTTTGGCTTGATTGGGTGAAGAAGGGACTACAATCAGGTCCACTTGCATGTTACTTTGTCAGTTTGGGGGTGTCATTGGTCAGGGCCTTGGTTGAACTATGTTGAACTGCAGGTTTTTCTTCCAAAAATTACGGGCATGCTCAGATTCCACAATATGAATAAGTCCAAACCCTACAGGGACCGGGATTTGAACCAAGAGTTTGGTTCCTGAAGTATATCCTCGGTGAGTCCCACTTATGTGCTCGGTCGTTGTCCTGTTTTTTTCTACGGAGGACTTGTCATCCCCAAACAGCACTCACGTTCAGACTTGGCGCCCTGCTGCAATTAGATCTTTGTTCATCATTTATTTGCTAAAGATACAGATCAATTGTTCGAAGGTATCTTAAATTAACAGGCGCTGAATTGTTTCAGGATAGGTTTCCATGTGTTTCACCCCGTTGGGTGCAATTCCTCGCTGAATCCAACGACCAGGAGAGCATTCTGCCCTACCACCGGTGGTTCTTGCAGCTGCAGGCGCATGTTGCTTTGACGGCCCACACAACCTCGCCCTACTTCATATTATCATGACTACCCAACTTTTGGCGCCAGTGCATAGTACATAGACATGCGTAGATTAGATGACAACATGTTTGTTTCACATCGTTTCATAGTTTGGGGGGACAAGTATGAATCGTGGCTCCGAATGAAACATGCTCTTTCTACCTGCAGGCTGAAGCTTTCAAATCCGGAATTCCTGACAATTCTTTTTGTGTAATGTCGACCCATGAGCCCCCAGGAGGCCAGAAGGTTGGGAACCAAATAGTTGCATGAGTTCTGTTGATTGGGGGGGGGTCAATCATGAGCTAGCAGCTGTTTCCACACGTACCAGATGTTTTTTTACATGTTGCCCCTGCTCTCCAGGGGCCGATCCCCAAAGAGCTGCAGCGGCTGAACTACAGCTATGTTCCTGGGATGGACGGAGTCTGCACGGCGCCCGTAGATGTTTGGCCCGTAGAGGAAGGAGAGGAGAAAACACCATGCGTGTTTGTTGGCATGAAAGAAGAGGTTGCCATTCTTTGCACATGTACCAGATGTTGTCCAACCCTCTTTGGGCTCAGGTGAATGGCTTGTTCATCCGACCCTCCTTGGCGAATGCAAGCCATCCTGTCTCGCAGAGACAGGAGCCACAGTCCAACATCGGGAGAGGGCAACCATTGGTTCTCAAGGCCAGACATCATCTGGAAGGAAAGACATCCTGCAGCACCTGAGGTGTATGTAGGGTGTAGCCCATTGCCAGTAACAGTCAGTAAAATGTATCACACATTAGCACTATTTAGAGACCAGCCTGTAAGAAATGTACTAACCATCATCATGCACTGTTACTGGTAATGGGATTTACCCAATCTCTCTACATGAAAAGCATGTCAAGGAGAATACGGGGATTTATACTGTTTCTTTGAATAAAATCACCTTGGGTCGCAAACACCATCGGAAAAAAAATATTGTTACCTTTTTTTGGAGATCACCCTGCTTCATCACCGGTGATTTCAACTATTTTCAACTGTTTCATCGGCCAGTCATTGCTGTATTGTGTTCCCCTTTTTTCAACAGTGTTTTGATTTGATGATGCTACTTGAGACCATGCTGCAGGAGAGCTTCCTCAAGATCTATGTCCCCTTCCTTGCGAAGGCCCTCTGCAGATGTGCGCTGGTGTTTGGAAGCACACCCATCAACCCCAAATCATGGGATCAATTGACATCCCCCCCAAAATGTACAGTACATCCAGCTTGTTCGGAAGTGCCACGAGTCATTGCATTTATGGCCTTCCTGCAAATTCCCGCACCACGTGCCTTGCCTTCAGAACCGCACCACAATCGTGCGTTCGCTGGTGGCATTGGAGAGACTTGGCAAAGAGATGGACGAAACTGCGGAACCGCACAGGTTAGAGCTACTCCGCTAATGATTGGAGGAGAAATGGTTCCGACGAACACGCGACCACTCTGTTGTTTTCTTATGCATTTCAATGAAGGGCGAGAAACACCCTTGGAAAACTGCTCGCTCCATACTTCATAGCAACTTGACCTCTGATGAACTGGTGCGGACTGGTGTACCTGGCCAGGCCGTGAAGTGGGTGGACCGGGATGGACCTTGTGGCATTTGTCTGCAATTTACCCTGAAATTCCATCTATGCTGAGTGTTTTGCTGCTGTAGCTGGACTTGCTGGGCCAATGTATGGGCACATCAGCATGGCTGGCCAAAGAAAAGACCTTCAGGAATCTGTAGGACAGTATCAAGAGCCAATCAGAAAGGACCTCATGGTATATTATATTATATGTCTCACCCTTTGCGCGCGTTGCTTTTTAGAACGAGACGACAAGACGAAAGACCCGCCGGTGGCACCGCCGAGGAAGTGGTCGGACTCGCTGGGAGGGCGCTACGGCGCACCCCATGAGGACACCTTCTACTTCGACGCCGCTGGGGACCAATCGTGGGGGACACCGTCGGACACCGTGGATGACACGGAAGACCTGCGATGAAATGTAGTAATCTATAGCTAGATGACTTGAGCGATTCCTGAAAAGTCAAAGACAATTGCACTGCAACTGTCTTTTCTTCCTGGACATGGCAATGGGAAGAAGTTAATATGTTTCATTACTTTCGTTGATCATGTCTTTGCCAGGTTTTCGTGACCGGATCATTTCAAGACTGCACAAAGTGGCACAAAGATCGGCAAATACCCTGGTCGCTGAAGAAGTGGGCTTCTGCCCTATCAAATGACCTTCTCAGGACTTAGAGCCTGGGACCTATATAGTGCGTGTAATTATCCATGTTGAAAGCTACTTATATCTACTTAGACTTATATACTTGAAGGTTTTGAGGCTGATACCCAGCACATCTACTTTGGATCTCAACCTGACCTTCCAAATGACCTTCCAAAAAAGGTAGATTAAGTAGATGTATCATGGTGTAGCAAGGCGAATATGGAGTTACTGTACACATTCTAGTCGCCCCCGTTGTGGTGTGTCCAGCCATCACCAAGTCAATCAAGAATCAAGAACCAGCTCCAAGAGCTTGGTCGACCTTTTTGGGGTCCTCTTTTCTGTTCATTTGGAAAGGCCAATCAAGCTTTTCTTCAAGGTTTTGACCCATGGCCAGAGCCCAGCTCCATTGTTGTGCATTGCCGAAAGTCAAGGCCGCATTATTTGCAAAAGCTTCTGACTACCCTCCAAAGAAGGTTTCGCACTCAACTGTTGGGGTATTGATGGTACGTAGCCCAGCTCGCTGGGCCGATGGCGGCCTCGCTGCGAGCACCACGTGTCGATCGTTGGCTCCGTTTGGGGTCCGTTGGATCGCCCAAGGACAGTCGGATCATCCCTGAAGCACTGGATGCGAATCCCATGGTGGTGGCTGGGAGTTCGTCAAGTTCAGACGGTGAGGATTCAGTGGTTTTGGTTGTGGTTTTGCTTTGATTTGGTGGAAGGTTTGGTTGGTACATGTTGGTACAGTCTATTTGATTGGATGGTTGCCTAGTGACCTATGTACTGTATGTCTTTGTGGTTGCCTGGTTGGTTGTATATAATTCATGTAGGTTCTAGCCGTGACCGGCTGAACGGCCGCTTCTACCAGCACCAATCGGAGGAGAAGGGCGAACGGATGCCGAGCTCGGACTTCTCAACCTGATTTCACCAAGGAACTTCGGAACACCGGAAGTTCATAACAGTTTGTGTCGAAACCAGCTCAGCAAACACAAATGGCCTTAAACCAACACAGTTGAAGTCTAAGTGCACAATGGCTGTTTGATCAGCTCTCATCCTTCCCCCCGCATTCAGGTGCAGCAGATGCCTTTGCTGGGGCATCGGCTCAAAGTGGCCCCTGGGCAGGGCGGTTCTGCCGTTTTTTTGAAGCAAATGGGTGTGCAGAATCTAAGGAAGAATGGTCCATCATCCACTTCGCCTGTGTTGCAAGGGTTCCCCGCAGTGACCCAGCACTCAATCAGGGTGCTCGTGTTTCAGTGCTCCTGTTTCGGTGAGTTTGTGACTGGAATTGAAGGGGAGAAGCCACATTACGGGGTCCCTGCAAACACGCCTGGGAAGATTCAGTAGGTGAATTTCGGTGGGACACACCTGGAATTTCGGGGAACTCCGAGACCACCCAGTGGGAAATCCAAATCGCCTGGAGGGTTCCTGGGTTGCATAACCGTCCACCCAATCCGAACGTGGGACAAAGGGCATGCACCAAAACAGATGGACGGTTGGTGGGGGTCACTTGACATTGACCGTTCACTTCCCGACTGAGGTTCTGCCAGTTCCCACATCTATGGTGCGAGTCCATCATCACATCAATGACATCATGTGGCTCGGAACGGATCTAGATGGCCAGACAAGCAACGGGTATGGACGGTGATGGTCCTTGTTCCGCTGGTTCCTCGTTCTTTTTTTGGGAGAGCCTTTTGTAAACCGACATGGAAGGCTGCCGTGGACAAATGACCTGATGACCAGTTCCAGCTTGATACCTTCGATGCCAAGACTGGTGCCATGACCGTCACGACCGGAGCAAACCATGGAGCACCCGGTGGTCCTGCGGAGCACCCAATCTTTCTGGACCCAGACGTGTTGGGTCAGATCTTCCAGCATCGAATTGCTGTGCAGGGAAGAAATGTGTTCCGTTTACGGTTTGCTGTATCATTGTATATATATATATTAGATACATGTATATACATATAAGGCACCATGGGATGCTTTTGGGAGGCTTTGGGTATCAAGATTATACTTCATTTCCCTTGTTTCGACAGGGCATGGTTGTCAAAGCCAAGTTTTACCCAGTCTCACCCGTTGACAGGAACCGCTGAGAGCATGCGACACATGGACCCTCACCCAAAATTGCACCATGGACACCGAGAACACGGTGAAATTCCAGACATGGACGAAACCCTACTGGTTGGTGGAGAATGCATTACTGAATTATATTTCAAGATATTTCAACACAATCCAGATTGAATTAGCGGATGTGACTGTCCTCTTTGGAAGCTTAGAGACACCGTGAAACGCTATTCAATATTGCGCTGAGTTGTAGCGATAGGAACGTGTGCGTCACATACGATGATCATATTGACACTCACGGAGTCTAACGCCGCTTTCTGCGCAACCCGCTAGCCTGTGAGGCCTTGCTTTTGGGTCTTTGGCCTTACAAGCCACACACCTATGATTGAGTCTTTACTTACATTCCTAGCTGTATCATTAGGCGGAACAGAGCCTCATCAGTGCTTATATCAACTTCGAGACACTTACATGCCGCAAACATATGCGAATGTAACATACCAGACCTATATATACTGTCTCAAAATAAAATTAGCCTTGTGCTTTGCTCACGTGCCTGAACTTGGCACATAACTCTTGGTTTAGTCAAGTTGCAAGGCAGGTAACAGAGGTGGCATGGGATGCTGCCAGTCAAGACCCTGCTTTCAGAGCATGCTTTGTAGCTTGATTATGCATTTTGTAATTTCTTGCTGGACAGTGTAAGTCCTTTCCCTGAGGGCTGATATCGTGACCGTGCTGGGACGATTGGCATCTGGAATTTTCATTTTCAGTCTTCTGACAGTCATGTGCCTTGGACGGTCATGTGCCTGGGTTCGGGAGAACATGCGGTTTAGTTTAGCTATGACCCAACGTCTGTAGAGGCTGGTGCAAACCACAGTTTGGAGTGTCAAGATGGTCAAACCTTCAGTCGGCAACAGTTTGAAGAGTAAGAACTGTACCAAAAAAGAGGCTTGCCTTGAGGGATTTCTCATGCCTTTGCCCATTCCATACTAAAAGAACAGTGAAACCGTTTTGGGATTGTTTCATCCTTCGAACTTTCGTGGATTTTTGTGGAACAGATCGTGTTGGCCATTCCTCATAGCCTCATAGTTGTGTACATTTTGTATAGGGTCATGTGCAGCTGTTGACAGGGAACGTTCGCAAGTGATGTGACCAAACTAAAACAGAAAGAGCACCCCTCGGATGTCAACCTAGCATGGACTTGGTGGTTTTGGTACTGGTGGAGGCTCCAATTCCATCCAACTAGTGTCCCAAAACATACCAATCCCCATCTTCAGGAAGTGCGGCCTTTTTGTGTTGCTCAGTTTTCGGGAGAAACCGCTTTGTGTGGAATTTGGGGAGCTTCTCCTTAGAGGATTCATGAGAACATTTGACGCACTATTTTGCAGCTGTCCAAGCGAAACCTGCTAGCTGCTGCTAGCTGGCCTTCCAGCTGTGTGTAGGGGAGTGTTCCAAATGACCTGGGGTGACTTTCAAGTCTGAATTCTCCTTTGTCAGAATTGGTGGGTGTGTGGGCTGACGATTCTTTTTGTATAGTCCTGATCAGCCCATTCATCGTCCAATCCTTGTCGACTCAGGTTCCCCGCCATCCGCGAGGCCCGGGTGGGGAGTTGTTGGGAGGAGCCTAAAACCAATGGCCGCCAGCCAATGGTTGGAGGGGGCGTTGCTTTCAATGTCGATCCGGGGCGCTGCTTTCCATTTTCATCGCTCTGGACCAATCATGACAACAAGCCCAAACAAACCAACATTCGATGAATTAAACCTGATTAGGCTTCTGTGTCGGTAGCATCTTCCGATGCACCCATGCACCCATTTCTATTCAGCATGTCCATTCAGCATCAGTCCGAGAGTAAGCAATACCAGTGAATCTCCCAGAACTCAAAATTCGGAGAGTCGCTGAGCTTGTACTCATGTTTCAGGTTACCCCTTGGGTCAATGTGGACGTTTGGAGGACCATTTCCCTGGGTCATTGTGTGTTCTTTTGCGGCAGGAAGGCCCCTGTCCCATGTTTTTTGTTTATGGACAACAACTACCGGACCACCCAACATGCCTTAGCGGCACAACAGTGTTCTAGTGCACACGAAGTGCTTGCCAGAAACCACATGAAACAGCAAGAGTCTACATATGTTCATTGATCATTGTGCATGGTATAAAAGTACAGTAAATTCATTCAGCATTTTTGAAAGCCCTCGCAGTTTGGCTGGCCTCAACAGGTGTATCAGAGTCAAAGTGCCACACTGGGTATGTTGGCCATCTTCCTTTTCCGCGTTGTTTAGATGTCAGAGACTTAAATGGTTGCATTTTGGCAGGAGAAGTACCACTTCTTTTGTCATTGGCCTTTCCTGGGCCTTGGCAATCCCAGTGCCACGTCTGCAAATTATTTGGAACTGACTATACACAGGTGCAATGTTCAGAGAAGGCTTGTCGTGAACATATTATCATGACCTGGCCAGCAGTCCGTCTTCCTTTACACCTTGTTGACAGCAAAGTTGACAGTCCAGCAACCTCCAACTTGTCCCCAGAGGAGACCTGGCAGGGCTGGGTGCAGGGATGTTCTGTTGGTCCTTTTTTCGCTTTGTTTGTTCACGACATGTAACCCGAGATGATTGCTGTAGCTCATTTGTAGCCTACGGAACCCTTCCGATCCTCATCCACCGGGTGCAGGAATGTTGACTCTTCCGAGGTGAGCTGGATGCCTTGCTTCAACCTGCCTAGCGACAGCTCGGGTGAAAGATTTGATTTCGACATCTTTCGTTACACTGGTCGAGGGCATCAAGACTCGAGAGCACCACAGGTCACCACCTGCGACACTGGTCATGCTGCAAAAAGACTCCAGACAAGACCTGTTTGTTGTGTGATGATTGAATTAAACAGAGAACCTGGACCCCCTCTAAGAATCATTTTGGGATAAAGCCCGTTGTTCTTGTCACAGACGTCGATGGTTTAGTGACGTTTAGTTTCGCTTTAGCGAGTATCAAATGTCATCAAATGTCCAGGTTTTGGTGTAAAAGAGCCTCATATTATTGTGCAGGATATTCCATCACGAAGTGGCTTTTTTCCACCAAAACACGATCGTTCAGTAGCATATCAAGAAACTCAATAGTCACTTGATGATGCAAACCCAGCACCACCTTGTATTGATGTGTGACATCTCACCTTACGCAGGTTCTTGTCACTGTTTAAGCCTTCCAAGAGCTGCAAGTGTTTCTTTTCCATCTTACATAAGCACACTTAAGCACACTCCCATTGATGGAGACGGATGGAAACCCTGCACCCTTCTTTTGGGGGAAAGCAAGGCCATTCGCAGAAGTGCCCTTCACATCCATGGAACATGACGTGTTTCCATCTCTTCGAGTAGACGGTTGCAGCTTGTTTCCGTCGCCGTGTGGCTCACAGCACCGGTGGGGAGTGTCCTCACTGCGGCTACGATCTATGTCCGGCCTTACATGTGTTTCGGCGTGGCATGTTGCCTGGCTCGGATGTGGCGTCACTCTGCCTTGCACCTTTCGGGAATAGCCCAAAAGGATCCACATGGATCCACAATAGGACATGCTCTATTTCGAGGGGATGCGGTATCGTCACCCACACCTGTATTTCTCGGTGTTTGCCTTTTGTTTTTCCTCGGGTGCTTTCTTTGTCAACAAATGTCAACATATGTCAACAAGATGTTTGCCTTGATGTGCTTTGTGTTGTTTGTATTGTCCAGAAACTGCTTAGATCACTGCTTCCCCCGGAACTCTTGGTAACATATATATATATATATATACATGACATAGTAACACAACATAATATAACATAATAATAGCAATAATATATTAATAATAATAGAAGTAATAATAATATTTATATATATGTTACAAGAGCGTTGGCCAGTGTGTAACTATTCTCAACTTATCTACAAAAGGGATCAAAAGGGTGTTTGAGGGTATCATCATCAATCTACATTCTACACAAGGTTCTATCTCATCATCTCTCATGAGGTTCTTCTCACAAGCTATATACTAGGAACAAGAACGCTCCTAGGAGCAAAGGGCATCGCCACTAGTAGCGATCGGACGCTATACTAGGGGCGCTCCTGGCCAAAAGCGACTAGGAACAAGGGCGTCGCTACTGTCGGCACCGATCGTCGGGCGTCGCATACTAGTAACAAAGGGCGTTACTACTATAGTAGATAATTACAAAACGGAGAGATAATTACCACTCTTCAGGGGTACCAGGTAGCATTCATACTACGACGACCCCATCATCATCTCTCCAAAACCCCGACGGCTACCCAGTTGCCACCGACGTTCGCCCAGGTTGCCACCGAGACTTGGAGAGGAAGAGCCCAGCGGATTAGCGGTTGACCGGTATGTGAGCTGTCCTGAGTGGGTGAGGGGAACAAAGCAAATGGAGTCACCAAGCATGCCCCATATAATCTACTTGGAGTCATCTGCTCTGGGTCTACTGAGTCTACTTGGAGTCACCATCATAAGGCTCTGAGTCCCGAGGCATCGAGTCACCAAGGCTGTTTGCCAGATGGACCCAGAGCCTTCCCAGCCTTCCCAGCCTTTCTTCACCCCGGTGTCACGTCTCCAACGCGGGGGGTCGACACCCCGTCGAAGCGAGCCAACAAAAATGAGACCAAACTCACCCATCAAGAACATTTGGGTCCAACCGCCTTCTCAGAATTTAGACCAAACAGGTCAGAAACAGGTGTGGACCAAACAGGTCAGAAACAGGTGTGAAGAATGGTCTTTATGTAAAGGAAAACGATCGTGAGAAGGTCAGGGCCAGGGGGGTAAACTTCCACACACACCAAACTCCATCAACTGATGCCCTGATCGGATCAGGAAATGGGAGGAGTATCCCAACCCCAACGACGCCTTTCTCGCCTGGGTGCTTTGGAGCATTTTGGCGCTCTCTTATGTGGCCTATCTGGCCGTGGCTGCTTGGAACGGTCTCGTTCGTCGGCGCAAAAGGCACCGGACCCACCGGTGGTGCCGAAGCGTCAATGTGGGGAGAGGCCGATGAGGTTTTGAGGGGGTAGAGTTATTGGTGTAGTCATGTTAGCATCAGCTGCGAGCGCCGATGTTTCAGTCGTGATGCATATATCAAAGCGGGATGAAGTTCAACACTCCCATGCCGATGACCTGCAACTCATCATTCAGACGCCCGCTGTTTCCTCACTGCTAACATGAGGTGATGTGAGCTTTTTGTCCTGTTGTTGGAAGAAATCGTCCATCACCAGGGATCAATTGTGGCAATTATGGTGGAACAAGAAAGTTCAAAGCTCCGCGATTGCAGCATCATAGAGGTGCAAATGATGGACACAGAAGACAGACCAAAGGATGGTGATGAAAACGATGCTGCCAGTTTTCACTGCTGGAGACACACGCACGCACACACAGAACAAAAGGAGCATACCGCAACAAAAACAAAAAGCAGGGGGTCAACAGCGTCAGAACGACATGTGGTGAACGACACAGCTGAGGCGACTTGGAGCTATGCTGAAAGCTTGGAAGTGCCTGAATCTGAGGAGCGTGCGCCGACGGTGCCGACGGCTGGGAGCGAGAAGGGGATGCGACAGGTCGGAGGAGAGGTGCCAACGTAAAGGCCATGCCTTTGGGGAAGACTTCCTGCACCATTGAGGTCCAACGCAAAGGCACTAGAATGCACATTGGTCGTTCTTGGGGCCACTAGCCCGACTGGCGCCACTGTTTTCAGCTCATTGTTGACAGCCTGCGCGCCGTCAGCCCAAGGGGCTTATGACATGCCATGACTTGCGATAGCCGAGTGGTTGGGTCTTTACACTGCGATGGTTGTTGAGGGTAGTCTTCATGGCGCTCACCACCTCAGCCATGCCAATCACAGCCAGCAATCCGAAGCAATGGGATTGCCGTCCGTGTCACTGGAAATCCACAGACCACAGAATCCAAGCTTGCTTGGATGGCAAGCCACCCAGATCAGAGGGGTACCAGTTCTGGTACCAACTGGCTGGATCCCATGCACGATGTCAGACGAGCAGTCACCCGCCTGAGCAAGCCTGTGTCAGACGAGCAAGCTGCAAAGCCAGTCCACCACACTTGGATGATAGTCCGACAGTCCCGTAGTTCCAAGGAAGATTGGCTGATGAAAAGGAAGAGTCATAACTCACAAGTGGCCAATCCATTAAATGTTCCTGTTATGGAAGACCAGGGTATGTCATGATTACACTCCCTGCAACAATCATGGAACTGGAACATAGGCCCCTGGGAGACCATTTTCCTCTAGAAGGGGGTCCAGGTCAGCTTCCCCGATTGTTGGAGGGAGGGTATGTGCATTTCTAACAATTAACAAGCACATCGTTAGGGATACACAGAAAAAAAAGAATTACTTATATTTTCTCGCGCACGACTGTGATGATGTCAGGGATCTCTCCGCAGGATGTCTACGAGTCCGAGCAACAGCTGCCCTTCGTTTGGATGCGCTTCTGCGAACTCAAAGCGATGCAGGCAGAGGGTTGGAGCACTGGGCAGGGTGGTGGTGGGGCACTTCCAGGGGAAGATTTTTCATGCACCAGAAAGATTCTTTTCAGAAAGAAGACACATGTAAGAACCACCTACTTCATAGCTACTGGCCTTAATTAGTAAGGAGGCAGGGCCTCGGGCTCAAAGAATGGCTTACACAACTGGACGAAGCGAATGAAACAGATTGGTTGTTCAATGTCCCCCATGGGATCGGGATATGCAGGGATACGCTGTGGTTATACATCCATCGTGCTGGCTCTTTTCTGGGACCCACGAAGCTGACGTTCCTGGCAAGAACAGATTCCCAGCCTGAGGGTTGACGATGCTCAGTTTTCAAACAACTCCAGGTTGTTTTGTGACTATTTTCCACTAGGGTTGGTCACAACTTGGCCCTTCAAGCTGCTGAAGAGGCTGCTTTCAACTACTCGCTCCTTGACCACCTTGTCGTCCGAGGTGGGGAGTCGTTCATCGACCCGTCGAAGAAAGGGGAAAAGCAACCAATTTCTCCCAAATGGCCGCAACAGATTCAACGATATAGTTGATATTGAACCATATTGCACCCTTTCAATTGGTCTAAAGATGTCCAAAGTCCAAATTCTCCGATGTTTTGATGTTTAGTCCCCAAAATGAGAGTGTTTAGTCAAAACTCCACAGCAAGGTCTCCTTGTCCCACAAGAGCCAGGTAGTCTCTACTACGCCTGGCCCAACGGCAGCGAGGAGGGCCGTTCCCGGCCGTTCACGGCCGCAGCGGGGCGATTTTGTGTGGCAAAGCTGGTCACTAACTAACACCTTCTTAGTCAATGGGTTGCACTTGCATAGGCTGCCTAACCACGAGTGCCGTGATTTTCTTCACTTGGTGATTTCTGTTGTGCTTCTTCGCAAGATTCTCCCCAGACGATAGATTTGAGTGAACTTGAGCTCCAATTTCTCAGTGTTTCTTTCTCAGAGGTTACGCTACTTGGAGGCACATTTGTAGCGAACATGTCAAACGGAGTTGCAGCATTTCGAGGCTTGCTTGAAGGACACCTTTGCATTCCATTGCCTATGGAACAGTTCTTCTACACTTGGATTCCTCTTTTGAGGGCATGAATCCAGGATGACTTCTAGATAAGAAGAACTCTCAGACGCAAACGTCCACAAGCTCCAAAACTGATCGGACCCAGGCCTTTCTGGGTTCGCTTCATGTGCCAATTTGGGCCTTTCAACGGCTTTGGTGGAAAGAGCTGTCCGTGGCTTCGTGGCTTCGCCCTGAGGAGCTGCTGAATGACACCTTCGACACCACAGCAGCCCCGGTCTTCACGCCCTCGCCTGACTTCCGCTGCAAGCGTCGCCTGACTTCCGCGGCTGGGGAGTGGACGGGAAAACTGGGCGGTGGCGGATTGCTGCAGAGTGATTATCTTCCAGAATGCATAATTTAACAAGAAAGTGTCTTCTTTTGAGTTACTAATAGCAATGGCCTCCACCCTAGTAGCCATAGCGATGGCCTCCAACCTAATAGCGACGGCCTCCAACCTAATATATGGGAGT